CCATGCGCTTTGGGCTAACTACAGCAAACGGCGGGTACTGTTAATTTTTGCTGGCTTTCGCGATTATAGCCAACCAAAAAGAGAAAAGTATCTTCCTCTTGAAGTTGTTGAGGATAGCTTTCTGGATAATCTGTGTTATCACGGTCACTCAACAGCGTAAGTAAACATTAGCATTAAAGCGCTACTTCTTTGATAACGCTCTTACAACTCAAACAGTTTGTTAGTGATTCGATCTGAATATTAAATTAAGCGTTTTACGCTATCGACATCGGTGAGACTGTGCATGGAATGCATGGAAGGAATCGAAGATTTGCATAATGTTGGATTTATTCATCGCGACATAAAGCCATCGAATTTTGCTATGGGGCGAAAGCCGTCAGTCGCGCATACTGTATTCATGCTTGATTTCGGACTTGCCAGGCAGTACTGTGTTCGTTTTCCCTTTTACTTTCGCAAAATCAGAAAAGTGGACATTGCGTAACTCTTACGATGTCTGATTTAACTTGGAAAAGAACGCATATGTTTTTTGTCAAAAAGCATTTTTCCTTCAATAAAAGTATTTTAAAAACATCATATTTTGGGCTTAATGAATCAATGGGCCAATTGCTTGAGCACTGTTGAGCGTACTGACACTAATGGTACCTGCATTTATGAATGCTAGGGTTTAACAGTTGAGCAGTAGAGAGTCAGATTCTACTTGTAAAAGGAGCGGGTATGACTCAGGTACTGAGTATGGTCGCTTGCTAATTAAAGTCTTCCAATTCGAAGATCGAGGACAAGAAGATCTAAGTATTTTATTCATGCTTTTTATTCCGATGACATAATTAGCATTAGACCTTCAAGTCTATCGCCGATGCTCTTGTAGCCTTGATAATGTCGAGATATGTGTTGGATGTGAGACATGACTAAATCAAGGACATTAAGAAAGCTCAGCCTCAGTAATGTCGACTTCTTCCAAACAATGCAGCCGTATTTTGGTCCAGTCTAGGCCTTCTGGTCTTCTAATCTAGAAGTTTGGCCGTAGTCAGATTTTTTACTGCAATTTGGCGAAGACGAGGTGAAATGGGAATTGAAAGAAAGGAAATATAAAAATTGGCCAACGCACGGGCTGCCCGTGCGAAGATGCGTTTTTTGCAGAGTTCCCTGCAG